ACAAATTATTTCTGAGCAAAGTAAAAATTACTGCGTTGAAAAGTAAGTTCCTTTATTATCTGGTTTTAACATGTTTTAAAATAATTTTAATTATATGGTAAGTACGACTTAGATTTTAAAAAAATATCGTGCTTTTCATTTCAGTCATATTACTTATTCTAACACCACTTTGCTAAGAGTAAAATGGATAAGCTGTGACTGAATTATAAGAGTAGTTCATGGGAATAATTGGGTGAACTTTCAAGGTATGGATTTATTATAAACTGATTTCTATGTATTCTTTGCTGAAAACTTTACCTTTGGAATTGGGACACTAAAAAAAGTACGATTAATTCGATGATTAACAATTTGTAAAAATTTGTTTTTTCTTAGTTTTTACCGTTTATATATATTAACTATAAGAATATCAATGCACGATTTTCTAGCACGACTTTGTTACTGCTTCTTACCAAACAAAAATTTTTTTACTTCGTTTTCATAAACTGCAATACAATTTACCTAAATGTCATAGAATAAAAAGTAATGATTGTTGCAAATTCCCGTTTTTTTTAATGATAACACATCTTTCGTTTATTGGGTGTTATCAATGCCCTCTTTATTTTTTTATAAATACGTATCAAACATTAATATATTTTTTTGACACCTGTTAAGTTTTCATTATATACTCTATAACTATGTGCATCAGTAATAGAAAAAAATGAGGACAATTATGTAAGCTCGTTCTCTTTAAAAAATCATACAGTGTATTGATAAGACCTGGTCCTCAATTATTTTATTTTATTATCGTTGCATACTGAGGTAAGTTTTAAAAATATTGACATTAATCATATCTTATTGCCACGAAACGAAGATGTATTGTAATGAGTTAAATTTGTTTTATCAAATTAACATAAATCATTTCATACTTTTAAAAAAAAGAGAATAATAAAATTTCTTAAAAAAGTAACCGTAAGAAAGAAGTGCTAAAAAATGATGTATAAATATTTTTACTGTCAGTTGACATTGGCCATTAATGTAAATTGTTTAATGATATTTGTCTCATCAAGCTACCCAAAATTCATCACAAAAAGATTTTAATGAGTGTTACAAAAGCCAAAACATGTCTAGTTTTGACAGCGCCTCGATTTGAAGCGTTCGAGCTTCGTTCTGTTGCATCCGCTCTCCTAGAGCTCATCTCTCCCTGACTTTCTGCAGCTTATCCCTGTTTCTGCAGTCAGTTTACTTTAATAATTATTATTATGCACTACACTATGTGGCACAGGTACTGTATATTTTTTTATTAAAAGAACAAGTCATAAGCTTTTACAAGTTCAAATTTTACTGCTAAATAATTAAATCCTTACAAATCAGTCCTTACAAATTAAAAAAAAAGTCTCGGCTTCTGTGTATGCTAAAACAGTTTTTTTTTGTAACTTATGAATAAATTTTACCTTCACAGTTATATAATCACCAGAATCAATATAGAGTTTTGAAAAAAGTTTAATAGTCTTAGACCTTCTTCAAATACTAGTATGCCTCAAAAAATCTTTAATAAGCCAGCGATATTTAATTTTTCTTACAAAATTAAAATGTGACGTTAAATTTAATTTGATTGATTTTGATTTTCCTAGCTCGGTCTCACTTGCAATAGACGTCTGTGATACATTTGATGCATATTGCAATCAAGGCAACGAAGAATTTCTTAGAATCAATTGCTCAGAAAAGAATGCACTGATCTTGTAGAGATTGTATACACGTCCTATGATCAGCAGACATCCCTTCTACATGGAATTTCAACTTCTGAAGTACCACAGATCTTAAAAAATAAACACAATTTGGCACTTTTTAAATTAAACGCACAGTCTGCAACATATGCCCTGTACTAAGGGACCTATATATGGGCTTATTTTTATAAATTTCTTAAGGAACAAGTTTTATTTACATATGTATATTATAACATTGCATTATACCAGCCCTGTCAACGTTTTCACGTCAACGAGAATCCGTCCTGATGCAACGCACTAAAACTCCTTTAAACTTCTGCAACACCCAAGACGCCGAAGCACTCTGATACATCACACCTTCCACTGTACTCTTAAACCCCCTACTTGGCTCAGCTCTGCTCTTCCGATAGAAATTCTTTATCTAGAGAAGACCCTGCTGCAGACGGTCCTTCGGGAGGCGGACAGTTATCGAGGGAAATGATCAGGACATGCGCATTACACACTCATACCAATGAATACACTAACACAGAATTCATTTTTGCTTACTCTTTATTGTATTTACATTGGATGAACACTTAATGAAAATGGTAGCTATCTCCAGAGATAACTCACAAGTTGCAGATCTTTACCCACATCCCAGCGCTCATATACATACACGCACACAAAGTTTCCCACAAGCGACCTAGAGAACTTCTAGCTCCAAGGTGACGACAATCTGGCTTGATTACGAGAACATTTGGCCATGATGTAACACCTTTAATTACGAGCTACCTCACCAGCTGGTCTGCCAAGTCTCAGTCAACGCTGCGAACGCGCACATACACAGAGTTCCTAATAAGTCCTGTTGCAGTAGATAGACGGCAAGGCTCTCTACCAATACTCCCTGACTACCTAGGCTCAGACGACCTTTAACATCTGCACGTACTCTCCTCATTCCATTGCCACAGGCAGGCTGCCCCTAGCAGACTGCCGAGACTCAGACGATCTTACATACGCACGCACCCTCTTCGTCCTATTACCACAAGCAGGCGGCGTCTCGTCAACTGCCAAGCTTAGACGACTTTTTGAACACGCACACACGCATACTTTCAATGCACCCCTTTAACAAGCTGTACTATAGCTTCCCATCATTCTGAATGCATCGGCTCGCCCATGATTCGAGAAATCACGCCCACAATCTGCATGCCTGCTTTCTTCCCTCACTCTCGACTTATTCTACACACGAACAATCTTACCTTGGCACCGTATACGAAGCCTCTCTCTCGCACTTCCCTACTAGTCGCTAACTTTACCTCGTTAAATACCACCAGATAAACCATCTTCAGAGTAGATGCCAGTGTCGTGATCCCGTAGTGTCACCCAGTGCCCTCAAGCCTTTCATGACTGTTCAGTCTCCAGCCAGGCAAGAGATGATACCTTTTGTATGTCGCCTTGAGCTGATGAATGGACGAAGATTGGATGACGTCTCGATGGTGCACACAGTCTACATTCTTCCCTCACTAAGGCCCGTCAAGGAATACTCTCTGTCTTGCTGCTCGAGGTCTACTGTCTTGAAATCTCCTCTATCTCTTTCTTTTTCCTACCCATATCATGCAACTTAGCTCGCACACGGCCTATTTTTTGTCTAAAGCAGACGTATACACTCACACATTCTTCTTTTATTCCTGGCTAAACACGATTAACAAAAGACACGGTAAAATACGACTTAATATTTTAATTATCGCTACTAGTTGATAACACACTTTTCGATTTTCCTACCATATTATACTAAAATACACACATTTGTTCAAGTGCACAGTTATAATATTACTTAGAGTCCTTTAATAATCATTTCTTCTTAATAGTCACGCTTTTCCCTTTCGCTCTTCTCTTTGCTCGTCTCATCAGCTGCATTACTTTGTCTTTTTCTCTTTCTTTCTCGCATGAAATATAATAAAAAGACAACACACGTACGCAGGCATTAAAAACAATCATTAGGCATCCAAAATTGTACCAAGTCGAGTTTTGGTGTATCTCGGCTCAAAATGAAAAATGACCATGTTGTCATAAGATAAACATTCTTAAAAAACCAGAAATTTAGCAAGAACTAGAAAAAAATTGTTTACAAATTAGTAATTACATAATCAAGCAAATTTTTTCCAGTGGCCAAACCCCGATTATAATGTTCTGTGATAATTAATACATAGGAATCCGTTGGAAACAAATCTTGACTTCAAAAGTTCACTTATGGCTGTTTATTCTTTCTCGTAAACTAATATAACATATTACGTAATTGTAACCTTACTCATTGATAACTAAAACTTATCATAATGCAAAGAAATAGTACAGAGCTGTTTGATTTTTTTTTTGCTCCTTTAAGTCTTGAGCTGCAGAGACTGAAAAATAGTTCATGGACATAGTAATGTTTTTTAGTTCCATCTTATCTCTCACTGGTATCTTTTTTTATAACACCTGTTGTAATACATTAAGCTCTCTATGACAAAGCCATTATAAAGCGTTTATTTGTCACTTTTTTGATTTTCATAACTTTTTTTAGCATTCAAGTTAAATACTTTTATTATGGATTAATTTTATTAAGATTACAAAAATCTAAATAAATGTAAAAAAAGCATTGAAAACATTAAGTAAAAGGGATGATCTTAAGTTATGACTTCTTAAATAGATGATATAATAATACAAATATAAAATTTATGACGTTCAAAATAATCAGCTATTTAGAAAGTGAGAGCTACTAGATATTTTTTTTCTTACACAAGTAAGCGAAAGACGATTTAGAGTCATAGGTATAAGATTGTATGTATGAAACAAAACTCAGTGTATTTATACTTTAGTAGAAACAGGTGATTAAATAAGTTTCTTAGATTAAGCAGAAAGCCAATGCATTAGAGATCCAGATTTCTCATACAAGATATGAAAAATTACATAGACATTATTTACATCAGATAATCTCTGTTGAATTAAACTACAGTAAAGCTCACTTTACATAGGTAAGGCATAAAAAAACCGTTGAATGTGAATAAAAAAAGTAATAAAATATTTTTTTAAAGTTAATCTAAGTAAAAAGTATGACTTTGAAAAAAATATAATAACAATTTTATGATGATAAAGTAATAGTTTCTAACAATAGATTTTATGGTTTATATTCCGTTTGTGTAGTTCATTAGCATAAACAAAAACGTGTGAATGCTTGTTGTTACATTGGTTAGGTAAAATACGAAGTATAAGTTTAGAGTACGTAGATGTCAGAGACATTTTCTTTATGCTACTATGTTTAAATTGCTTATTATGATCCCTTACCTCAGCTCGGTACCATCCAAACGGCATTTTCTTAGTTGCAGGTCTATGTGCCATCCACATTGAAAAAAGTGATATCATAAAAGACGTTAAGTCAGTGAATAGATGAGCTGCATCTGTGGCTATCGCTAAGCTGTTTGACCACACTCCACCTGTAACATTAGCTTTATGTATTTGAGAAATTTCGTACTAAAAATAATTGAAGTTAATGGCATAATTATTTGTTTATATATTGATTCGCTTACCCAAACTTAGAGCACATTTACTTAGTTTTTTGAAAGAAAATGATAGAAGTAGGAGCTTAAGCCAAATAATAACAAATTAAAAACACGTATTCCTAACATTTTTTTTATATAACTAAACTAGACTCAAACAGGTAATACTCACTTTTGAAGCATATCGTTTTTTGGAATCTTTCAACTATATACGAGAAAAGATTTTTCAATTTAAATAATGATCAGTCAAAAAACCTTTTAGGACGTGTAAAAGCGTGATTTAAATTTAGTAAAACATTTTATGATGAAAATGGTCAAGTACACCAGGGTTGACAGTATAGTTCATGTGATTGTTGCATAACTTCGTATATTCAGCATACTTTCTTAGATAAACGTTTTAAAAGTCCCATTCAAGAAATTCTTGTAAACTAAAGCATTGTTTTAGTTTTCTCCAAAATAAACACTAATGATTTTATTTTTTTCTTGTTTTCCACTCGTCCATCTCTTTTTTAAGTTATGTCTAAGCTTAAGTCAGATACTACAAATATTTTATTTAAGATTTAAATCATAGTATCTACTATTACGGACATGACTTGGCTCTACCAGCTAAGCCAGCATCCGTATATTAGAGTGGCGTACAACTGACGACACAATAGTGCACCTAAGAGTGCAATTAGGAAAGCCGCTTTTAGTGGTGATCGTAGCTCGATGGTAAGCATAGAATCTCGCGAATTCTTAGTGAATCGGTTCGAGCTCCATCTTCACCTCTCTCGCGAAGCTAATTACTTACAATATTTCAGCCACTTTAATTCATTTATTTAATATTCTGGAATCACCCACTCCAGTAAGCCAACAGAGAAGGCCAAGAGCAACGAAAAATACTGAAGATGTTCGAGAAAGAATACCCAGCAGGAGATGCAGAAAAAAATATTATCCAGGACGATGAAAAAATATAGTGAGAGAAAGAACGAGTGACTTTCTTTAAGTTTGATTGCTTTGATTGCGTAACGAATTATGTAGTCAAGTTTACTGTACTGGACTTCATTCTTATTATCATTGTTTTTTCGATCGTTATTATTTAAAAAAGATACACATTTAACTGAGTGGGTAAGATTTTTATATTTAAAATACTATATAATTATTAACATATTTTATGTTCTCATGTATAATTATAATGTGTTTCACAAAATAAATATACAATTATACGCACACGTACCAAGACATTGATTGATCAGAATTATTATATTTACAGTAACGAGTGTTAAGAATGTAAGAAAATTATCTTTTTATAAATTTTTATTAAGAAAAAATTGTTTCTTATTGACATGATTACAAAAATATAACTTGATTTGACGTTTTCGTCAAAGTTCTCTTGCATTTTCTTTCCTTTATTACTTTTTTAGATCAAGCTTGTATAATAAGTGGCTTCAGTCCTTTTTAACCATATTATTTACGCTTCCTTATGTCTTGTTGTTATTTTTTTTTATTTTCCTAAATTTTCTTAGACTTTTCTCTTTTCTTACTATTTTTAATCATTGTTTCTTAAAAAACTAACTCATAAAAATGTTATCCTTTTTGACTCAACTACGGTTGTAAGTTCTTGAAGTCTTTTTTTGATTGGTGCTTTTTTAAAAGTATTGAAAGTCGTGCATTATTAAATAAATACTTGCTGTGAAAGATTTTAATAGGAATAAAAAACCTTAACAAGGTCATTAGTAGCGCTTAGTGAGAAACTAACTTTTATTTTATTCATACATTTAATCTCAGTTGGTGCAGTCTCCACACTCCAAACTTTGCATTGGAACGCATAAATCATAGTGAAAGAAGAATTCCTTAAATTTTTTATGAGATGAATGTGTTTCTCTGGCGTTTTGAAGGTTTTTTGCATTTGTTTTTTGTAACCGTCCTTACCTCAAATTCAATTACTTTCACAATACGCATGACCGTAAATATGACTCAGAAGTTTAATAAGAACCTCATATTTTTTTGACAGTATTAATCATACGACAACCATTACATAGTTTATGATCTGCCTGCCCATCACATCAGAATATAAAAATACTTTGTTGTAACCATTATTATGTAATTTGATTGGTGATGCATGATAAATTTAACAACTAACAAGGTAAGCACCTTTTTTAACGTACCTTCGATAAAGTAAAACATTTAATTTGTATCTGAATCAAGTATATGTGTATTATAAGCTTTAAGCCACAGTAGCAAACTGTAAAATTGACAGTTACTAGAAGCTTGAGCAGAAGTATATTTTTCCCAAAGTTTAATACGCATTGTAAAACACCTTGTTTCATTGAAGCCATACGTTTTATAATTTCTTAACGTTTACGTAGCTATTATTTAGTGATGTTCAGAATACTTGTCACCTCTTTCCCCTTACTTTTCAAAACTTTGAAAACATCCAAATGCGGTACAGAAATTTGGCTTGCAATCTTTTACAGAGCACATTAAATTTTTCATTTATAGATGTTTGAAAAATTGCAGATGAACAATTAGCAAATAGTAACATTGTTCAAATCAGTCAGAAAATAATACTGACATAGCCCTGCCGTACAAAGGAAAAAAGGTATTTGTGTAGTTAGAGTCAAACTAAGAGAATCAATGCAAACTATTTGCCTTAATAAACCAATAAAAATTCAAGGTTTTGTTCTGGAAAAACTGTTTTATGGTAAATCATATATGATCTTGATGATAATTACAAAAATCATTTTCCAACGGGAACCGTAAAAAAGATGTACTGACCCTTCAGACTTAGTGCACTTTCTTTCTTAAAAAAAGGGTTAGTGTCCTCACGGCCTTTTTAGTCCTAAAGAGATCAAGACTGTACTAACTAAACAATAAAAAAAAAGGTTAAGTAGCAGTTTAGAATGACTGTAATTTTTAATATGGATTAGTACAAACCTTCCATATTTTCATACAAGTATTTTTTTTAATTCATAATATTCTACTTTGTTTTCTTATTATAGAGATAATTCGATCATATTTTAACATTTTATGATTGTAACACTTACCCAATTTTGACGGATGAAATAGTTTATTGTACATTCCCGAAAATCTTTACCGATCACAGTTTCAAAATTTTGCTAATGGTAGTTACGTAGATGGACCAAATAATTTAAGTAAATTACCTTTTTATCGGTAGAACAAATAATAAAATTATGTAAAAAATTGAAAAAAGTGAAATATAGTAAAAGTTTTAATCTTGAAGTTTTAATTATTCTTGAGTGATTGTTTAATTATTTTCACTGTTATAACTCAAGATAAAATCACAAAAATTAGTAGATGGTCAATTTTGCCAAAATTTTCGACGACTATTGGGCATGAAAGGTACTAGTTTGTCAAGAATATCTTTTTTTTCTGTTCTGGTGTCCCTCGATAAGTAGTTTGTTTTTCAACGAGTAGAAATTATTTTTTCAGAATAGTACGTTTACGTAGAAAATCACAAACAATAAATTCTCTGGCATAATCTTAATTGTATTTTATATGTAAGCTCCACGATCTTCATTCGTTTTACGGCACAGAGTTGTAGACAATCTGAACTTTTTTTCGTTTTGTGAGTGGATGACTTGCCTAGTCAAAACGAAAAATTAGAACGAACTAATGACTTAACGACAACTTTACGTGAATTCATTTAACTGACAGATGATTCAAAACCTTGGAAGATAAATAAATTACTTTTTTTTGTCGTTGACGATTCAACCTGGTGGTTAAAGTGGTATGTGGCCTGAAAACAAAAAAAAATAACTCAATCGATTAAGTTTAAACTTCGTTCGAGTTTATCAAACATACAAGAATCGATAGAAACGCTCAGTTCAGAACAATTATTTAACCACAATTCTAAAGATTGTTTATCTCGATTGATTACAAAAATGGGTGGTAAGCGCTTGTTACAGGGCACGTTCAATTTTTATCGTTCGTTCGTTCGGTTCGTTCCTTTCGTTCACACAATTTGCTAATATCTATTAAGTGAGCTTAGATGTTTTGTATTTATTGGCTTGGATCATCCACTTTGAGATAACTTCTGGAAATAATAAGAGTAATAACAGTAATAGTAGTAGTTTCTGATTTAATGTGCCCAAGGGCACAAAACTTTGATTAAAGGTTACCAGCTGTTTTGTGAACATAACAATTTTGAATCTGTTCATTTTTGCAGTATAATTACTTTTCGCAAGTCTAGGAATCAAAGTTACAGCATCTGTACTTTTTAAAGCAAATATTATTAGGCCATCGTTGTTTAGTATATAACCAAAAATTTCCAAGAAAAATGACGTACAAACTTTTACGTTGACTTCGTCATCTCTTGGCAAAAAGTCACCATACTGTCAGTGACGTTTTTTTGATTTATTACATTTCCTATGATTAACTGGAACTTTTTTTACATAATTAACTATTCAGGTTCTTCTTTCATTTATGGTTAGTTTTGAGATGATGTTGTTAATCACTTGTCTTCTCTCTTTAAAAATATCTTTACTAGACTTATCTTTGTATACTACTGCAAGCAGTCAATATTTGTTCTCATTTTCATCTTCATCATTATTGAATTTTTTCTGATTTTTAAAGAAAACAGTATGATTTTCAGAAATACTATTAACAGATAACACTGAATTTTCTGAACTTTTCAAAAGTTAAAGATTGTCTGCTTGTGTATTATCATCCATACTGGATGAGCTGATCGCAGAAGGTGAGTGCATTAAGGACACATCCTTAATTTCGAGTGGTTTATCGACGTTTTGAGAAAGTTGAATGCCATTTTCCTGATTAATCACTGGTATATTGTCAGGAACTTTACTTTCCGCTTTGTCTGAACAATTTATACTTGGGCTAGGTTGAAACTAATAAGATTGATCAGAGCTTTGAAATGACGAATGTACTCACGTTGATTAATGACAGAATCGTTGTAATTCATTTCATCAATTTTACGT